TTTTTTTTGGAACATTTCAAGTGAACATTTCAAGCTTTCTAACTGAGTGAAAATTTCAAACTCCAATGACTGAAAATCGAAGATTTTTAATGAAAATGAGCCTAATTCTTTCTCAGCCAAATGGATTTCGATTATCCAGTCTTCCTGAGTGATGTCCTCTGTAAAGAAAGAAAAAAGAATAAATCGAAAAGACAAAGCCTACAGGCGAGTGGTCGTAGCCAAAAGAACACAACGTTTGTCTTACTTTATCAAATAGGTCAAAATCTGCTCTGCATTTGTTCTCTCTGAGAGACAGGATGCAGCTCGAGTGGTAACAGGTGCCAACAGCAACCACTCTCTGTCAAGGCTACCGACAGTTCCCTTTTCCGACGCTGCTAGATAGTGAAATCAACAAAAATCTCCGAAAAGCTTCATTTAGAGGTCTAGTCACGAGTAATCCTGGGCTAGAAAAACTACGACTGCTCAAGAATTCAGAGCAACCTCCTTCGCGACGCTTTCCTCGTTGATCATATGCTCATTCCAGACACTTCGCTGCGGATCATAATAAGTGATGGCGTGTTTCTCCAAATATGGTATTACCTAGAAAAGCAGTTCATATTCATTTCAATGCCTACGGAACTGTTCATTACCAATGATGAAGACTAATAATTAAGGAAATTTAAGAGAAGTAGGGAGAAAAGGAAGAGGGTGGAAACGTAAAAAATACTTAAAAATCATCTATACTAGTCGCATGTGATGATTGTACGGATAGAAAACCTGCACAGCTCCCGGTTATTTAACTCAATTTATTAACAAACTGACTGTAATAACGCACAGCATCATGATCGAATTTCTTCACCATGTTGCCAAAAAGCCAAGAATGGCTTGACTCGAAAAATACGCTCTTAGAAGTACTTGAAAGTTCAGGAAAAAGAAAAAAACAAAGGCTCCCGTACTGCCCGTTTAGGGTAGGTAGGCACTCGGAATTACCCCGAATCAACAGAAACCAAATGCTTCCTAGGCCTTCGATAGTACCCCTTTTCGAGCGTTACTTACAAGCAAACTGATAGCTGTTTGGGCGCCCCAGTCTCAGCCAGTACCAAATATACCGTAGAAACGAATGAATGAATCGTGGAGGGACTGGTTGTCTCATTGGCGGAGACGAATTTTCGCCTATCACGAAGAGAGGGACACAACGTGCTACTGCACCATGCTCACCGAAAGGAACAAAAGCTACAAAAAAAGAAACTTCAAAAACCAGTAAAAGCAACAAACCAAATCTCGCCGCCATACGGTGTCGCCACAACTTCCACCCAAGAAAACATCATAGATCGGCCGATGAGATGGATTACTATCGACACGGCAGCCAGCTGAATTTGCCGTCAGGAATTCGTTTGGGATTTTGACACCACAACTGTTCTGCAAAAAAAAAAAAATGCAACTCTCTTAAATACTGCT